CTATGCAGCTTGGACTCATAGTGGTCCTCCTGTCTGAGCCTCCCTAGTGCTGGGATTACAGGCGTGTGCCTCCACGCTCAGTTTTGGTGACTGGCCACATCATGCCCGGAGTTGCGGGGCTACTGGGAATTGAACCTGGGTTCTTGTGCTTGCCAGGCAGCTGCTTAGACTGCTGAGCTATCTTCCTAGCCTCCAAGGAGCATTTTAAAAATTGGATAATGGGTCTTTAAAATCTTAATAATGTTAATGTTAAATATATTATAATAAAGAGCTCATACAGATCGATATGGTGTGCCACAAGAAATAATATATATATATATATGAAATATATATTTCATATATATGACAGGAAACATGAAAATATACTTTATGAAACTTTTCTTTCTTTGTTTGAGATATTGGGGGTTGAAACTAAGGCCTTCGTGCCAAGCTACATCACAGTCATTTTTTCTTAAGTTTTTAGAAATTTTTAGGAAAAAGGAAAAATAAAAGCAAGTCTATTATACTATTAGTGTCTCTTAGTTCATTCCAAGGGAAGGTTTGTGCTAACACTGAGCAAAGAAAATTTTGTTGTTTTGGTGGAACCAGGGATTGAACTCAGGCCCTTGTGCTTGCCAGGGAAGCACTTATTCCACTGAGCCATCTCCCCAGCCCCAAGCAAAGAAAATTTTGAAACCCATATCTCGTACTCTGAATAACTACTTTAAAGAAAAAATATGCAATATATTAACTATTGCTATTCTCATTTTGTTATATATATATGTATATGTGTATATATATATATATATATATATATATATATATTTTGTTTTTCCATACAATTAAAAAAATTACACAAGATTTCACTAAGTTGCTAAATTGCTCAGGTTGAGCTTGAATTTAAGATCCTCTTGCCTCAGCTCCCAGAATGCTGGGATTACAGGTGTGCACCTCCTATCTGGCTTCTGATTGGCTCCTGAAAGTTTCTTTTTTCTTTTCTTTTAATTTGTTTTATTTTTATTTTTTTATTTTTTATATTTTTGGCAGAACTGGGGATTGAACTCAGGCCCTTGAGCTTGCCAGGGAAGTGCTTATTCTACTGAGCCATCTCCCCGGCCTCCTGAAAGTTTCTTGATCTGAATAATGAAAATTAAACAAACAACAATGAAACATCATTTTGCCTCTCTGGAAAAATTTAAAGATATACTATACAATATTAGTAAATTTATATAAAGGATAATATATTTAGATTGATAAAAACTTGTTGGAAATTTGGTAGTGTTTTTCAGAATGTGTATGCCTTATGATCTAGGATACTAGGCCACAAAAAATATGATTGCAGGGGTATAATCACATATGTCTGCTGTTTAAAATGCAATCTTGTTTAACCTTTCATCAAAGGAAATGATTAAATTATAGGTTGGAGTACTGTGCTATCATTAAAAAGAGTTACTATGCTGATATGAAAGGGGTCTAGCATAAATTAAGTGGGAAAAAAGTTCCAGTACAGCACGATGCATTTGCATTTCTGAACCCAGTTTAAAACATAAAAACAGGGTTGGGGATATAGTTCAATGACACAAGCACCTGCCTGGCAAGCTCAAGGTCCTGGGTTCAATTCTCAGCACAAAATAAATAATAAAAATAAAAACATGAGCTTCCCAAACTCCAAACTTTATAGTTATGTTTACCTCTAATCTATATTTCCAAGAAGAATTTATATAGGAAAAATCTCAATGAGGATGCACCCCAAGTTATTAATACAGTTTATCACTAGGTAGTGGAATCAGGTATAAAAGAGGGTCAACTAACTTTCTTTCTTTCTTTCTTTCTTTCTTTCTTTC